TACTAGAATATACTTGGGGTCTACGCCTGGCTTCACATTAGTATTAAGCGACTGCACCACAACACTAGCAAAAGCCCTCTGCATCACAGGAGCGCTAAGAAACGATCCATTAGCTGCATAGGAAGGCTAGTCTTTCAACCATCAAGTTTGCCAGATAAGCGTTCGGACCCTAGAGGTGCTCATACCTCTAACCCAAAAACATGCCATAGAGGGTAAACCCTCTACTACTGCTTGATTTGTTACGTTTATTAGCAACCCAATGTTAGCCACATTGATCCGGGAATATGGAATATCCAAGGGATCGATTGTCCATTGTGGGTCTAAAAGAAGTGCTTCTGTAAAATTTGCTGAGTAAAACGTGAAGTAGCAGGCTCATGAGAACCCTGTTTTAATTGCGGATATTTAACAGCTACATATATCCTTTGGTTTAGCTTTTACTCAGGTTCATTTTACAGAATGGAATATTCAAGTATAGTCGAACTTCTGGGAATACAGTTACAGTCGCAGGGCTAAACTCAATTCCTACTTTGGAAAAACCCCGACAAATTTAGTTTAAGGGATGGGTAAAGTTCAATTGCTGCGTCTCTTTAATTCGCTACATAGATTTTGAAGTCGCGCCATGTAGAAATAATGTCTAGTGAAAAATTATCAAAAGCCTCTGATAAGTTACCAAACTATTCATTAGGTCCACTGCAAACGTACGAATGACCGAACTATGAGGACATACACCTGGAATGTCCAATTTCCTTAAAAGGAGAGCGCCGCTACCCTGTTAATTGGTGTCTTCGTAAGATTAAAGGCTGATATCACGACCGTCCAAGAGGAGTCATAGTCTGTACAAGGACAGAGACGAGTAGGTGTGTTGAAATTGTGGTGAGAAGAGACTCCGTGGCCAAGTCCTAGCATGCACTTCCGTGGATGAAAGTGAAATTCTTCACCAATCACCACGACTATACGGAAGAGATGATGTGGTCACGGATGCTCTTTACACCCACAAAGTCAAAATTGTGCTGGGCGACTTCAAAGCTAGGGTTAACTAGAAGTTATCTATGCACAACAAAATTTACCCTTCACTACGAATCATCCCCAAATGTCAAAAACCTGCGATTGCAGTTTGAAATTTTCTCCATTTCTTCCATGATTTTAAAATCAATGACCTTGCGATGACCGCCACAAATTATTGGAGATTTATCTAAAATCAAATGTAAAAGAATAGTTTTATATTAGTTTCAAAAAATAAATATATACATTTTATTTATAACATCGGACTAAATGCAATTCCTTCATTCTGAATATTAAAAGGCTTAATCATAGCACATTATTCTAGCATATATACAGACATAGTAGTGCAAAATTAACATCGCATGCCTACACACAATATTTTCATACAAATGTACATAGCATACAATATGTGCATTTTGGTGGTAAAACGTTTTTCCACCAACTGGTGGTCGCCAAATTTTAATGATAGTAATAATTTAATTCCAAAAGGCAGCTGTTTTCCCAAACTTCACAATTTGTTGTGCATATATGAAGGCATGGATGCCTAACGTGCTAATATTTACACATAGCTGTGCGTACAACTAATTCACTAACTAAAGTATGTGTTTAAATATTCACCGGAAGCAATAATAATTGGGCGATTTATGTGAAATTAGGCGGCGACTATAAAAGCACTGCGCATATACATAATCAATATTGGTAAATAATATGACCAGTAGGAAAAAATTTGTAGTTATTCATTGTGAATCGATTACTGGAGAAAAAAAGGAAATTCCTTCTGGTGAAATTAAATTAGCAAAATACCATTTTATGTCGGTTATCCATATTTCGTCGTAAAGTCTAATTACTTTAATTTGATGCTTGTGAAACGATAGCAGTTTTGCCAGCATTAAATCCTTATATATTCAGTACCTGCTACCTTTTCTTCATATCTTCTGAGATTTATGTACCTGATGAACAAATCTGAAAGTCCTCGGTGTAAGAGGTGATACTCCGCAAAAGGTATAGGGTGATTTCGGTCACCTGTCTGTTGGATTTTCTTTTATCTCTCAGACTCGCCCAGCCGTCGTTTAATATATTTCAAAGGAATTTGGAAAATTAATATTTGATGGCAGTGCGCTTTGTTCTTCTTTGACCACCTGCCGGGCATCTTACGTAATTGTAGTTAGTTGCCAATGGGAACACACAGTACTGTAATAAATTAAGAGGACAACTACATAAATCCCCCAATGAGGCTAAGGGTGAAGAGAACACCCTTACCAACATTACAATAATTTAGGAGTCGAGATACTTGTTCGGATGGCCGGGTAAGAGCGGTAATTAAGGAGCTGATCTCAAACGCACACTTCCGAAGCCCGGTGAGGTCGGATGCAAAAAAAATCTTCTCTAAAGAATACAACTTAGGTGAGAACTAGAAAACGAACAAAATAAATTACTTCGGCTCACATTAAATAATCTGCAGAAAAGGCTATTTCTACCACCAAAAAGGTAGTGACCCACTAAAGAAATGGACTACTTTCGGTCAAAACTTTGGTATGGATACAAGTAGGATGGAACCACTACAGCACGTATAAGGCATTTGTTTATGTTGCCAAAGATCATTCTAGAAAGCAGCTTGTGTGAATTGAACTAAGATTGTCGAGCTTAGCTCTAAGCTATGTGCACAAAAATCCGACGAGTCTCCAACCCGTTTAATTCTTCTGAGAATTTTAGAGACTGTAAGTTCATCAAGTGTGCGGATTAGGCCTTGTTGGATTTCCTAAAATTAGCATCACGTTACAGGATTAGTATTGGGACTTACATCAGTTGTCAAAGTACTTTGGCCACTCCAATTGAGGTATCTCAAAAACATCCATTCTAACGGAATCAACCGCCTTTTCACGTGTTGAAAAACTGTGACTTTTTGGTATAAACGTGCGGGAATAAGAAGAAGTAATTCGGCGCGCAGTCAAGACTGTACGGTTGATGACTCGCCAAATCGATGCTTTGAATGCTCAAAAATTCATGGTGGAGGGTGATGCGTTTCCTCTGACTGTTTTACTCAGATTAACTGTTCTATGTTGTTGTAGTAGTGCGGTTGCAACCTGCTCGATTTCAAAAATATAAACATGCAACCATTTTCTTCGAAATGATTCATGCGTTTGATTCGGCTCATTAGTAAACATCCATGCAGTGGACTGCTCATAGAGGTATTTCGATACACCGCTGTTGTATTTTTTGATATATCTCTCTACCAATCGACAAGAGCTTAGTTGAGGCATTGACAAAGTGTGTGGAATCTATCGTGAATAATTTTTCCTAACAATCAAATGCTTAAGCAATATTAAATGTAAGCTGTTCTCAATCTTTTTATAGATCTTCTAACGATCTGACACTATCAGTTTGCACACAGCATCAACAGTTTTTAGAGCAGCAACTTATTTTGAAATTCATGAAATCGTCTCGAATTCAACATATATTCAAAAACATTAGTTCTTGATGAAGCGTCAAGGCCAAAAATTGAGTAAAGTTCATAGACTATTTTCAAAAGTAACGAAAGCTAATAGAAATGTCAGCGTCGGCATCTGTTAGGCCATGATGGAAATCTTCAACGGCAGCCGAATTAAAGATTATTGAAACTAGGGGCTAAACAGGAGTAACTTCAATAAAATCGTAGTTAAAGTAAACAAAGACTTTGTATACCCATAACTAAAGATATAAGTGAATACTTTTTTGTACTAATTACAACTCAGCAATCATTGCTTGAGATAAAGCTATAACAAAAGAAATATTTTCAATTAAGTCTATGCTCTAAAGGCTCACAACGAGGACATGTCGCTAAAAACATAAAAAAAGTTAGTTAGAAACGAAATTCTATTTTCCGACTTATCATGTCTATTCTAGAACACTGGCTGTCCACAAAAACCGGAAAGCAACAAATGGTTTGAGCGCACCGTTTAAATGTAACATCCGCAATCGAACTCATGCACATTTGTCTCTAACTTCTCGGGCAGTACTTCTACCTACTTACCTACTTTATTCAAAATAACTAGAGATCATTTAATAAAGAAATAAATTCCGCACACATCTTGAGAATCAGTCGCCATCGGCACCATCATCCCTGTAGGGTACGCATTGGACGTTTTTTCTTTTTGTGTGTTAATATTCTTATATCTTCCGGATAAAAATTTAATGAAAATTTTAATTTTCCGCAACCACCAGTGAACTTTATCTGGAACGAGTAATTTGTTGTTGTAAGGCAAGTTGCTTTTTGCCATAATTGTTGTTGTAATTCGGCTCGTTTCGCGTTTATATGGTAGCATCTCGTGCACTTGTTGTTCCATGATTTTTTGTTTTTTTTTTAAGTGCTTCTAATTGACAGTACGAGTTCATGCAGCTAGTTAACCAGCAAAGGGACAGTAATAGCAGTTGGTTGTGGCATTTAAATTAAAATTGTAGAAATTCAAAACTATACATTTACGTGCGGAAATGGCTATCGTTGGTGTTTTAAATTGTGTTTTTGTTTTTGTTTTTGGTACCATTTTGAAACAGGAAAACGTGTTGACAGCAGTTACAATTATACAGTCGATGCATTTTGAAAGGAAAGCCACAGTTATGGTCAGCCATATATATATATATATATATATATATATATAGACATATAGACATATGTATGTCTCATTGTTTATGCATGGTAAAGAATTTAGGAAAAGATATACTACAGATAGCGCTGATGTCAGGTAATTATGAAAAAATGCATTTGTGGTCTGATCTGGCTCATTCACACATTTAAAATGGGTATGATGGCACAGTTCACTTACATTAATATTTCAATATAATTTAAAGCCAATCCAGTCACATCGGTTTGCTAATATTTATCGAGCATGTTCTCTGTAAAGTCGAAGTAAAACGAAAATACTTCAAATAAATATTTTGGTGTTTTTTATTCCACCCCTTTCATTTCAATTTCATTTTGTTTTTAAAGATTAAATCTGTAATTCGAATTCAGGCGAAAATATATATTTTATAGTCACTTTAAAATTCGTGTGAGAACATAGCGAAATGTAATTATTTTATAAAACAAGCTAATAAATGTGTTAAACATTAAGAAGAACATATAATTTTTATGGAAACAGGTCACAACGGTTCTGAACAAAAGTGGTCCTCCTCAAAGGGAAGTATTTGGATGGAAGAAGTAAGTATGTTCTTTTAAAGAGAATATTTTTTTATAACATGTCTGCTAAAGGTTTAATTTAACTGAAAGGATCAGTCAGCAATAAGAAAGCTTGGCTGGACGAATGCAGAAGAAACTATCGCTTCGATATGGGGCGAAAGTCACTGAAGAAATTCCCAATACTGTGGCATTTGATGATTCCAGTGAAATTCCCGTAATCATAATAGAAGATGGTTCCAAAGTGCCGCTACGACAAAACTAAAAACAACAACATAATTGCGAGGTAAATGTTAAGGCCAACATCTCAAGAGCAACCCTAATCTCAAAACGCTAAAGCGTGGTTTTTTGAGACCACTGTACGAGAGGTTCACGCAATGTCCCCTGCAGGTTAGGGGCTCACGAATATACCCGTGGTAAGATATGCTAAGATCCAGTAGTTCCCGCGACAGTGGAGCCTTTAATTGAAACGACCCGGACTTTTATCCGGCCAAGAACTGTCACTACCGAAAACCAATTCGGGGAATATTTTTCGGTTACAACTACAACATATTCAAGGAACTCACTGATAACACCTTTAGTGCTCTCTTAACACCAACTGATGTCCGGTGAATTGTTGTGTTCGCTGCTGCCCCCTTCATTCCGGCAGGTCGAATTGCCAAAATCCATCCGAATTTTCCAACGAAAGCCGCAGTTTTGGCATCTAGTCGCAACTATATTTATCACGTTGATCCCGGAAAGCCTCTCATCAACGATCTCAATAAAGAGATTCGGCGTCAAGTTGACATTCATAAGTGGAATAATATCATGAAATATCTTCTTTCTGCCAACCAAATTTTGGGCCACATTCAAATCGTTGTAAAATTTGAGGAGACGCGTTGACAGGGTGGAAATTTTATTCCGTAACCGCGCCTCGTCGAACCCGAAACGATGCGTCAGCTATTTTAGTCGCCTTTTGACACTGCGCCCCTCGATTGATGAAATGAAACGATAAATGACCCGCCGTCTTTGTAAACTGCCAATCACCAGCTCGGCGCTTAATTTCTCCAGGGAATGTGCTCAGGAGGACTTCCAGAAAGCAAAAGCTTTCATTCCATTGGCACCGGCGTAATAATACTGCTGATGCTAAACCACCTAAGGGAAGCGGGAGAAGACTATCTCACCAAGGTCCTCAATTTGTCTCTGACCACCCTAAAAATACCTGACATATGGAAACTGGGTAATTTGTTTTCCCGCTACCGAAGGATGCAGCCCAACAAATATTTAGTAAATACAGGAAATTTTCACTAATTACAGCACCAATTACAGCAACCGCTAGATGGGCCGACTAACCGACGGGCATTAAACGTCATTAACCTAGAGTCCTTTTTGAACCCTCTTCCAATACGGAACATTAATTTAAGTTAGCCAACGAAGCACCACCTCGCAGCTGGGTTGCTCTAAATTTTTCTTATTAGGGGTGGCGTCGAAACTAACCTAAGGACCTACACCGTTCCTCCACTTCGATTAAATGCAACCCGTGCAATGGTTGGAGTCATCTTAAGATCAGCTCGGGCCAAAAGACTTATAGGGAGTGGGTCAGTCTCCACGGCTGTGCCTTCAGTACCTTTACCCACTTTGAGTAACCAAGAGACCTCTGCAGTCTCCCCGCAGCATGACTCTCACAAACACCCACTACCGTCCCCTTGCGAGGGCTACATCGGAAGCCAGAAAATTAAACAGGGGGTGTCCTCTCCCCGCTACTGTTCAATTTTTATATATCGAAACTCCCTCTTTCACCAGAAGGAGTTACCCTGAACTCGTATGCCGATGATTGCACGATAATGGCATCTAGCCAGAATATTGATGACCTCTGTTCTAAAGTGAACTGCTACCTTGCGACAACTGAAAATACAGTCGACTTAACCCTCGGCTACACTCTTCACCAGCTGGACGAAGGAATACTGGCTTAAACCAGATGTGTAGATCGATGACGTAAAAATTCCGACCGTAAACCAGCCCAAAGATATTGACACTAGACAGCCTGCACTCCTTCACTCGGCATACGTCCGCAATTGCCACAAAACTCTAGAGCCGCAATTATATACTCAAAGCGCTAGAAGTCAGCACCCGGGTTAAAGACAAGGAAACTTTGCTGGAAACTTACAAGGTAATTGGCAGGCCGGTCGTATACTATGCTGCACCGATCTGAGCGTCGGGGACGAGCGAGACGCAGATAAAGGAGCTACAGGCTGCGACAGGAAACCTTCTGAAGTCGCCAGGGCATCACTTGCACAGTGAAGTATCAATACTACGAGTTAAGAAAAAAAATACTTTGCTCTGCAAGCAGTTTCTACTGGGTTGTTACCGCAGATCATTGCCTTTCCGAATCGGCTCCCACATCACCACATTCATTACCTCGAGGTCGTATATAGTACTAGCACCAATAATAATTTCATTCTTGAAATCCAACCCAGAATAACTTTTTTCAACAGGTAATCAAAATCTGGCAATGGAAAAGTCCTCTCTCGACAGCTAAGGTTCAAACTCTATATTCCTGGCCCGTCAATGGTTATGTTTCCTTTTAATCGTTTCAGCCGCAACTTCACTGTGTTTATCCAAAACCGATACCTGGTTTGAAGTCAACGGACCCAAAAAGTTATGCACACATATACATGTAATATACGAAGGGGTTTGTGTGAAATAGGTCACCAACAACTATACACATATGTGGTTACATAGCAATAGCAGTAACAATTTTTTCCGTTTTTCACTCAGACAATTTGAAATTAAAAGCAAAACACTCACTAGCAATACCGTTGAAAGCAACGGAAATGGAAAAACACACGTACACTCGTAAGCAAACATAAAAAGCGTGAAATCTAATTGCATTTTTGCCTATTCCGAGGTGACTAAACGAACGACCAAACGCATCACGGCAGGCAAACTATCGTTTCTCGTTGGTAATTTGAATTTTTGGCTCGTCAACTACAGTCGTGTGGACCATGAAGATGGCACAGAACAAAAAAAATGTGAAAACAGAGAAAAACAAAACACAATAAAAGCGGCAAACGTGAATAGTTGCAATCCTGTAAACCATTCGCCAACCCATCTATCCACCCACCTCCCACCACCACAGGCAATAGCCTGCTTTTAGCTAGCTATCCGTTTTCTGGACAAGAGTTTCCCATTAGCATACCATTGTAGATGGCAGGGAGGCGGTAGTTTGGAGTGTGTGTTGCATTTCTGTGTGGAGTAAAATTGAGTGTGGACTTTGTGTAAAATGTGGAGGAAGTGAAACTACTCTAGGATATTTCAATACCTTTTTTTGCGTACACATCCATGCTTGGAGTTTTTGACATTCCCTGCAAATATGGAACGCAATTAGAAAAATTTTAAAATTTTGTGTTGACTTGCCCTCCGCATGGTAGAAGTTATTGCTAATCACTATGCTACTACTCTCACAAATCTTTTCTTGTTCCCATTTCTATGTCCACACAGTCCAGATATGTTAATTGACGTTGGATCTTAGTCTCTCGTATAGTACGCTCGATAATATCATTTATAGGACATTAAGGCAACTTATCCCATTATAGTTGACGCAGATTGTGGGTCGCCTTTGTGTGGATTAAGCAGAGTGTACTTAGGCTCCAAATATGAGGAATGCCCTCATCCATCCAAAGCAGCTAATGCATGTACCTTGTCAGTTCTTTACCGCAGTATTTGCAAACTTATTTTCATTACTTAAGCAACACCTAAGCAGGTTGTTCTGCATCGGTCTGCATATAACCTTAAGGTATCAGTATACCATGGTGTTGAAATCTTCTGCGAGTCACCTTTTCTTTTCTTAGTATTTTCGAAAATTAGCTAAATCAGCTTTTCAAGCTGTTAGTGAACTCGAGTTTCATGTTCCTTCCTTATTTATAAATGCCTCTGTCTCCCCTATTCAACTGCTCACATATTTTCCTTACTGTATCGATCGATCGATATTACAATAATAAACCTTTTTTCTACTGACTGCAGTTCCAGCTGTTCTTTCGAAATTGGAGCTAATTTCTCGGAGCACAGGCTCACCCAGAAATGTTGTTCATCTTTTACTCCATAGCTGATTAAGTTAAGTGGAATTGTGATGAGCATGAGATGAGAGTGGATATTTTGGTTCACCAAGCCAAAAATAGGCTCGCCAAGTGCGCTGAAACATGAGTGTTATGTTCACCGTAGTTTTCGATTTTTAAGGCAGAGTGCATCTTGAAATACAACCACCAGACTAACCGATCAATAAGGAGTACCAAATAGAAGCCCAGCACCGATTTTGTGGAACGATTGGAAAAATAGCCGGATTTGAAGAAAGCATTTCATGGCTTCTACGTCACTATAAAGCACCAGATCCCATTTTTTTGATTTGTTTGTATACGACAACATGAATGTAAATAATTATTTTGAGCAACCAATGAAAATTCTTGTTATTTTTGAAATCACCTCGTACGTACAAATTAGGAGTAGTCAAAGAAAATATTTCCTTATGTTTGAATTCGGTTTTAAATTTAACTCTATTTGCAGTAAAATGAACAACTTGTGTGTGAAAGATTGCCAAAAAAAAATACCATTAGTAAGTGAAAACTAACAATAGAAAACAATTTTCCCAATAATGTTTGCGTAGTGGTAGTAAATTCTCTTCTGAAAATGTATATTACAGTAAACCAATACACAGAGATATTGCTGTTGTTGAGCTACCATCACGTGAAATTGAAAATCTCAAAATGTTAATGGCAGAAAAATGTACGCATACGTGTAGGTATGTGGATGTACCCTACAGGAAAAAGTACTAGTTTTTGACTAAAAATAATCCAATTTATTTCCCTTTTTGCATTAACTGGTACATTTTCCATCCATTTCCAATGTAACCAAATGATATTTTTAGACGTACGATCTCCTCCGAGCTGTCAATTGTCCAACTATGCATCAACTTTATACTATTCAAATACTAGACACATACAGCATCAAAAAAGAAACTTAAAAAAATATTTAGGCTTCCGCGCACCTTGAACCTCACGTAGAAGTGATCTAAACATTCGGCTATCGTGGTCAGACCCATTTTATTTTTTCGAACTTCAACTGAGCGTTGCAGGGAAGGAAACTCAGTCGACTCATGGAAAATATAACAACAACATACAGTTACGAAATCATATTATTTCTACTACTAGTGCACGATTTCATCTTCAAATTACTAATGTCAAACTAGATTTTTTGCATATAAGTCTACCTCCTCTCTGCAGGGTAGTAATTCACCTTGTACTCTTTCAAT